TGATGAACCAAGAAACGGCGTACAACGTCATCATAGGACGCCCGTGGATACACGCCATGCGAGCGGTCCCTTCAAGCCTTTACCAAGTGATCAAATTCCCTACCCCATGGGGAGTATTCAGTATTCGAGGCAAGCCACGCACCGCACAAGAATGCTACAAAATAGCCCAAGACTGCGCCCACACCCAACAGCTAAAGGGGGCGAGCGCAGAGGCATAGCAATTAGCCGTGTCGGGAACTAAGGTCAACCCGACAACGGACGCCATCAAAGACCTCGACGTTGTGGAGGCCTGTAAAGGGACGGTCGAAGATCTCGACCCAGTCCAATTGGACGAAACCAATCTTACGAAGAAAGCCTATATCGGGCACGGTCTCGCCAACCCAAGTAAGTATTGTGAATTCTTAACTAACCATGCAGATTTGTTCGCCTTTTCCCATTCAGATATGCCGGGAATCCCGCGAGACATCGCCACCCACAAGCTGAATGTCGATCCACTACATCCGCCCGTGCGACAGATGAGGAGAAAATTCAACGCCGCTATCAACGAAGCGGTCAGTGCGGAAGTAGACAAGTTACTGGCCAACGGCTCCATCAGAGAATCAAAATACCCCTAGTGGGCCGCCAATGTTGTCATGGTCAAAAAGAAAAACGGGAAGTGGAGAATGTGTGTGGATTTCACTGATCTGAACAAAGCATGCCCAAAGGATTCATTCCCACTACCCCACATCGACCAACTGATCGACGCCACTGCAGGACACGAACTACTGAGCTTCCTAGACGCCTACTCCGGCTACAATCAAATCATGATGGCCGAGGAGGACCAAGAGAAGACAACTTTCATCACCCACCAAGGGACTTACTGCTACAAGGTAATGCCCTTCGGGCTCAAAAATGCAGGGGCTACGTACCAGAGACTGGTCACCAAATTGTTCAAAGAGCAGCTCGGTAAGACTATGGAAGTCTATATCGACGAAATGCTGGTAAAGTCGACAAGAAAAGAGGACCACATCGACCATCTGAAAGAAACCTTCGAGATATTGAGAAGATACGGGATGAAACAGAACCCCGAGAAATGTGCCTTCGGCGTGGCCTCAGGAAAATTCTTAGGGTTTCTCGTATCACAAAGAGGTATCGAAGTCAATCCAGATCAGATCAAGGTGATAGACGCAATACCCGAGATACTGAACAACAAAAAGCAGGTGTAAAAGTTGACGGGGCGAATAGCCGCCTTGTCTAGGTTCATCTCACGATCCTCAGACAGATGCCATAAGTTTTTCAATGTGCTGAGAAAGGACAATGGGTTACAGTGGAATGAGGAATGCGTCGAGGCCTTAAGAAAATTGAAAGCGTACCTATCTGCGCCGCCACTGCTGGCCAAAGCAAATCCAGGCGAGCCCTTGCTGGTATATTTGGCCGTATCTGAGGTCGCTGTCAGCGCAGTCCTAGTTCGTGAAAACGAAGGTACGCAATCTCCTATTTACTATATTAGCAAAACCTTAGTGGACGCCGAAACACGGTATCCACACCTTGAAAAATTAGCTTTGGTATTGGCCGTAGCTTCACGGAAGCTCCGACCCTATTTCCAATGCCACCCCATAAAAGTAGTGACGACCTTCCCCTTAAGAAGTATCATACACAAGCTTGAGTTATCAGGCAGACTCGCCAGATGGGCCATAGAGCTCAGTGAGTGATTATCGCGCAGCAGACTCAACCTTAGGAAGAGTGGGCGCTAATACTTTTACCCAACAGTCGTATCGGGGTCAATTTCCACAGGGAGCTAGAAAGGGAGTTGGATATTTGCTTAGCCTAGAAATGCGTGTTTGCTTCTATTTGATCTTCTATCATTTTTGGATTTTTATGATTATCAACTACAATTTAACAACTACTAATTATAACTAAATTATGCTAAGATATTAATTCTAGGTTGTATGCAAGATAGAGAAAGGCACTAGGGTCGTGGCATTTACCTAGGCGGTCAACTAACGGGTAGAGATTCCTAATACAAGAATGATGATTATGGGGCTTATACTATAACCGTTGCACGATTGCACTCACTCTCACACCTCTTGGTAGAAAGAGTGATTTTGCCCAATTGGCTCTCTCGAGACCAATTGGGTAGGCTAACAAGCCAAGCAACTTAGGGTTCAAGTTGGGTAATTACTCTCTCGAGGTTTTACCCGTTAATTGGGACTACCATTCTCATGGGTCCATCCCAATTCCTTGTTGGGTTAATTTTGGAGTCATAGACA